TTTTTTCAGGATTTTTTTTTATTATTAAAAAGTTGTTTTAAAAAAGTCTTCACTATCACTTTTTATATATTTAACACATCCTTGCTGAATATTCCTGTTTTTTTTGTATTTTTTTGTATTTTTGATCAAATAAATGCAGGCTTGTAGAGCATAATAAAAAACTTCTTTCAAAAACATTAAAAATAGTACTATAGTAATAGTTAAAAATAGACTTTTTACCCGTAGGCTACTGTATGTACATATTAATCAAACTTCATCTAAGGTAATCTCTTTTTTGTTTAATGAAGATGTTATTGTTATTGTTATTTTGCTGTTTTATTCAATTTATTCACAGTTCCAGAATACCACTTCAGTGATGTATGCTTTTATCATTTTTTTTTTTCATAGCTGCGGTATGGGCAGGATTTCCCCTCCCATTTAATCAATACTGACTGCAGATATTGTCATATTATTAATATAAGTAAATATGATATTATGCATTGCATTGCTAGCTTAAATATGCTATACACAAATCAAGTGGAAGAGAAAGACACGATCGCTACTGATTAGAAAAAAACATTCTAAACTGATATTATTGACGAAAGTAGGCTGATGTCAGACAGGGTATAATCTAATCATCAGCCGAATTTAGAGACCCATGAGATCCTTTATTTGAAACATTTAAAATGTTGTAGCGTGTTGGCTTTTTAACTTTGAATACAAACGTCTTGTCTTTCACTTTTGTAGCGTTTTTAGTCAGCTCCCGACGCGATGTTATTCATTGTACGCGCAAATTCAAAGCGTCGAGTCTGGGCACGTTAACACGCTCGCGCTCTTTTAAACTCGTAATAAAGCGGTGAATGATTTTTTCCAGAAATGACGCTGATCTACAGTACAAGATTATATTTGGAATACATTGCAATCACTCCAAAATAGACGACGACAACTCACACACCTGCATTAGAGCTGTGCTTCTTTGCGTGCCTGCCTAGGCTTTTGCTTCGCAGCACCTGATGGGCTGGCGTTAATGTGACGTAATGTAACAGTCTATGGTTAAGATAAACATCGTCACTATTTTTAGTTAATTAATAAATATTGAAATAAATTGTAGATAGGACATTTTTTCATTTTTTTTTTTTTTTTTTTTGTCCTTCTGTCTGGGCCCCATCCCACCAATCGGGCCCTAGGCACGTGCCTAGTTTGCCTTTGCGTTAATCCGGCTCTGCACACACATATACATATAGTGAATAAGTACATTGTGTGATAGGATCATCTGTTCATCTGACACTTGGCAGTGATAGTGCTTATGTAACTGTAGGAATGACAGAAAGGTGATAAAGATTTTAATTATTCTGTAATGCCAATGTATATAGACGGGGGTAGACATGTTTCTGCATTCTCCAGTATCCAAGTTGATCTTCAGCTCTGTATGTTTGTCTCTGTAAGGTGTTTATCCACTTCTACGATCGCATCAGAAGTGGCATTTGAGCTTTGTCTGTGCTGGTCTACAGCACTTTCCAACAGAAGACAAAGGTTTCCACCTCAGAAGTGTGAGAATTTTTTGTGTTGGGAATTACTGTATGTACATTGACTGAATATAAGACACATCAACGGTCAACAATTATACAATACAATTGTATAATTGTTGACCGTTGATGTGTCAATGATAAAAAATAAAATGATAATAAATAAATAAATAAATAAATAAATATATATATATATATATATATATATATATATATATATATATATATATATATATATATATATATTTTTTTTTTTTTAATGCATTAATTGGAAGCCATAAACTCAAAATATTCCCAGTTAGGGGAAGTCTTCCTTTTTTGGCTGTTGCCATTGCTGTAGCCTAAATACAAACCCTTCACCAAACACCCAAATACCAACACCAAATTACCTAAAAAACACCAAAAGTGCAACAGTCTTACAAAAACAAAAAGACACAACAACAACAACAAAATAATAAGTAGTTTTGGTTATTTAAATGTAATGTATTGATTAACTTTCAAAGTACAGCACTCTCCTCACAAACCCATCAACCAGACTGAGCCAACAAGGACTCGTTTAGTAAGATCTGGGGTCGAGCGTTCGAGCGTTCGAGCCTTCTGACGCCCAAAGCGAAACGCGCACGTGATTGGACAGAAAGTGAGGCTTCGTTTGTCATCGATCACGTGACCTCTGGGAAACCAATACACACTCCGATACGGGGCTTCACTAGAAATTGCTTCGCTTTCGCGATACGCACATCGAAGCTTCAGTGTCATACGTAACATCACTACCGGGAGCAGCGCGTGAGCAGCAGTGAAGCGGGGGTTTCGAATCTGTTTTTTGCTGCATTGCTCACGCTAAATTAAAGTGAAAGCACACTTTTGATGGACAAAAATAAATGCGATTTCACACAAAAATTGCCCAAAATGCACAGAATTAGCATGTCTAGTGAGTTTTAACAAGAACTTGAGTAGGCAAATAAAAGAAAATAAAGACTCTAAAATATTTATAGAAGATTTACCCGGTAAAAACTTGTTTTTAATTATTCAGTTTGGGTGAAAGTTGTGTATTATATAAATAAAAAAAAACTAAAGTAAACTAGCCAGAAAATATTATATATAAACGTTCTTTTAGTTCATGTAACGTTAACACACAGACAGCTACAGGCTAGCACAACCCAAATCAAACCCGAGTGTGTGGTTTATTTGTGTGTTTTGTTTTTTATCCGCGGAGTTGCGGTCTTGTAAACATCGAAAGTATGACTGAAACTAATAGATTGGAGCCATTTTCTGGGTTGTTTTGTTGTATTACATTTAACTTATATGCGAATGTTGTACACCTCCCCATTACAAACTTTCAAGACTATCAATGTTATAAAATGACCAACTTCTAAAAACAAATGTATAGTTGTTTTTGTAAAGAATTGCTCGCTTATATATAATGCCGAAGTCATATTTCAATGTCTTTGGAAAACACAAAATGACTTAAGCAATTATGCTATGAGGCTAACGATATGTAGCTTTGGAGCCGCTGCTGTGACACTGTACAAACGCTTCCAGTGTGAATACTCTCGCGCAGCTGCAGTGGCGATGTAGTTACGCTGACGCGCTGCTCAAATGCCGCTCACGCTTGCGGTGTGAAACCTATATGTGAAACGGCCGTAAGGCTGCATCGAAAGGTAACTTCGCGTCTACTGCCATGTTTGATCCATAGGTATAAACAAACTGCTTCGGTGTGTCGCATAGACGCGTCATCGTCTTGCTGCTCCCTCCCCGTTCTGTGATTGGTTCCCTAAATGAGGCGAAAAATCCGGCCATGGTATCCAGACTGCCTTTCAGCGTGAATTGAATCGCGCTGCGGTAAGGCAGTATGGGGAAACCCAGGCTAACCGTCGCCTCTGTCGCCTTTTGATTTTGGCTTGCTTAGTTGGGGACACTTAATATTCAACAATATTATTGAACTGCCTGCATTGACAACATACATGAGATTACGTACTGTTTTCTCCAGAGCGGCTATATTATATAAATGAATTAAATTTAATAACGTTTTTACAACTAAACTTAACCATCACTGAACTTACTTAAGCTGGACTGTGACACTATTTTCTTTCTTGAAACAAACTTTGTAATTATTTTCCTGTTATGTCTGTAAAGCTGATTTGAAACTGATTGTAAAAAGCGCTATATAAATAAAGGTGACTTGACATTTATTTTGCAAAGTTCCTCTTGCTCTCTCTACAGACTGGTGTATTGGCACTTTGTCGTTTACTAAGCTGATTATACAAATGTATTTAACTATTCATATTGTTTTTATTTATTAATTTTATTCTTTACTTACAAATAAATCATTTTTATCAATCACTTCTTCGTCTAACTGGATCTCACTGCATTAGCGCAATAGCGTGATATAAAGTATTTTTTCTCTTTTTTTCTCACAATTACGAGTTCTGTAATTCTGACTAACTCGCAAGTGCACGTTTATTTCGCAACGTTATAACTAGCAATTGTGAGTTTATATCTGGCAATTCTAAGAAAAAAAAGTAAAAATTGCAAAATTGCGAGAGAAAAAAATCGCAATTACCTTTTTTAAAAATATTTTTCCGTGATGGAAAAAAATCTTTCTTTCTTGATTGTGAATTCAAAAAATGCACTTTGATAATACGTGCCTCTGGTTGGTCATATGACCGCTCCCACGTGACTGTGCTGCTCTTTCTCTTTCACTGTGATGAATAAAGGAAGAGAGACTGAACTGCAAGATAGCTTTTATCTGAAGCAGCACGTGTGTTTTTTCAAGATCAGAAAGTGGTAAGTGTGTATAGATTTGGGAAAGGAACTTCATTTTGAGGCGAGATCGATCCGCTAATTAATTAACACGCATGTGTGAAAGTCGAAATTCGATTTCTCAGTGTTTAGATTTGGGCCTGATGTGAAGACATGATAGCCAACACTTTTTTGTTTAAACACGGAGAGGTGAATTTTTTTTTCTTGTGTTGACGTCAACACACTTCACGCCTCTTAGTTTATCAGTATTTTCCATGAGATGTCTTTGATAACAGTGAAGTTAAGTGTGCCAACTTTCTTTGTTTTGGTGACGGGTTACTGTGAGTTTTGGGGTTTGGTATTAGGTCTTTTTTTTACCATCAGTCACAGGACCTGTAATGACATCATCACATTGTTTTGACTTTTGTGTATTCTTTCCAAATATGTGATTTGTCTGTCACAGTTCCTGCTTGTTTAATGCTCCTTAGCATTAGCCAGAGGAGCCAGAGGAGAACTGGCCCCTGACTAGCCTGGGTTCTCCCAAGGTTTTTTTCTCCATCCAATCTGATGGAGTTTTGGTTCCTTGCCACTGTCGCCTTGCTTTTGGCTTGCTTAGTTGGGGATATTTAATATTCAACAATATTATTGAACTGTGTTGTACTACTTTCATGTTATCACTGTGAAGCTGCTTTGATGCAATCTGTATTGTGAAAAGCGCTATATAAATAAATGTGACTTGACTTGACTTGACTTGTTTGTTTCTGCGGTCTAAAGTGCCCTCTTTATTGGCTATAGTGGAGCACTGGAGCCATGAGTGATGGGGAGATGATAGAGCTGCCCCTGAGCCAGGGCAAGTTTGAGCAGATTTGGGGGCACCTGTAAGTCCATTTCACTATAAAAATGTATTTTTGTTGAAGTCTAACAATAAAATGAGAATGTAAACTAGCAACATACACCATATTGCACAAGTGAACAAAATGGATCATGCATGTGCATTCAGTCATCCATGTTAAAGGAGAACTCCGGCGCAAAAAGAACCTTTGGTCTAATAAAACATTGGTACCTAGTCAACCGTTCTCTGAGATTTGTTTTCATGATAATCGAATGTAAAGAGTTTTATCTCTAAAAACTGTTTAGCGTATAATGCTAGTAATGGGGGCATTTAATAAGTAAAAAGAAATCGCTAGTTTATACCACTAACAAGGCTCAAAATAGCCCCACACTAACACAGTAACATAATGAGGGTCCCTACATGCAAAACGAAGCATTGAGAACTTTGTAAGTGTACACTACAGACCGTTTAATAAGAAGATAAAGATAAAGACAGTCCACTTCGTGTATACAGACAGGAGCCATCTTTGGAAAACAGTCTCGACTAATCAAACCTTGAACGCCATTCATACAGTTCAGATGTTCACTGAACTTCATACAGTTCAGCTCACTTAGCACGTCGTTTGTGGTTTGACTAGTCGAGACTGTTTTCCAAAGATGGCTCCTGTCTGTATACACGAAGTGGACTGTCTTTATAAAATATCTTCTTATTAAACGGTCTGTACACTTACAAAGTTCTCAATGCTTCGTTTTGCATGTAGGGACCCTCATTATGTTACTGTGTTCGTGTGGGGCTATTTTGAGCCTTGTTAGTGGTATTGACTAGCGATTTCTTTTTACTTATTAAATGCCCCCATTACTAGCGTTATACGCTAAACAGTTTTTAGAGATAAAACTCTTTACATTCGATTATCATGAAAACAAATCTCAGAGAACGGTTGACTAGGTACCAATGTTTTATTAGACCAAAGGTTCATTTTGTGCCGGAGTTCTCCTTTAAGTTTTACATTTGAATGTATGTCTTTTATTTTATTTTAGATAATTAAAACTCTTAAATGCATCCCCATCCATAAAACAACTGTTTTATGGTATTTCTTTTCATTCATAGAGGATTTGGTGAGCTGATCAAGGAGCTGCCTCGTACAAACAGTGATGCTTGGCTTACTGCTGTAAGCTGGTATTTTCATTTTTGATATGTTTTTTTTTAAATATGACACTCAGCCTCAAGTTGTTTTAAACCTGTATGAATTTCTTTCTTCTGCTGAACAAAAAAGAAGATATTTTGAAGAATGTCAGTAACCAGACAGTTGATGGACCCCATTGACTTCCATGGGGTCCATCAACTGTCTGGTTATGCACATTCTTAAAAATATCTTCTTTTGTGTTCAGCAGAAGAAATAAATGCATACAGGTTTGAAACCACTTGAGGCTGAGTAAATGACAGAATTTTCATTTTTGGGTGAACTATTGCTTTAAATGATTACCAGATATCTGCTACCAAAGGTCCAACAGCTTTTTTGACTGAAACTTAACTACTGCTTTTATTTTTTGCTTCTTATTCTAAATTCAAGAACAGAATGAAACGTCACAAAGCATCCATACCTAAATTTAAACTCTCTTCACTACATCAGGCATTGCCCGATGGCCCTGCTTTCACAGATGGCTTTGACCTGGATCTCCCAGAGAACACTGACACTGCTGTTCCTGCACCTGATGTGGCCCCAGTTGTGGACAACCTCCCACCTCCTGCAACTGTAGTGCCCTCCATCTCTGACTATCCTGGGGAATATGATTTCCAGTTACGCTTTAATCAGTCCAGCACTGCAAAGTCAGCCACATCCACAGTGAGTGATGAGTGAAAGATTTAAATATAAACCATTTTAATTCCTCCCCAAATCTGCATAAGATGAATAGTTTTTTGTTGACTGCAAAGGGTAATTGGAAATGTCATGTCAGTTATTTTCTAGAACCAGATTATTTTGTGGTTGAAGATGTTCAGAATGTCAATTATTAGTTCAATCGTATCAAGGTGTTTATTATATCGGTTCTATTGCTTGTACAATGTTTAATGTTTTTCTTAGGAAATAAAAATAGGCAAAGAATAGGAAATAAAAATAGGCAAGAATGATCAGATTTGAGACAAGACAGTATTCCACTGGATCCTTTTCTCATTATTAGGATTAAAACACATCATAGATGTTGTATAAACTTCTTCCCTTTTATCAATTCGGTGAGCCTTTATGCTTGATGAGAGAGTTTAAGAGCTTTCTTTCTCTTACCTTGTCCTTTGTTCTTGAGTCTTTTACTCAAGAACACTGAGAGAAAAAGGTTTCCTTAAATGTAGTTTGAAGATATCTGCACATAGTTTGTCCTGATTCGTTTCTGTGCTACTTAAGGTAAGTTTACACTAGGGCTGCACGATAATGGAAAAAACTGATATTGCGATATTTATTTAGTTTTTCTGCGTTTAAATTTTTTTTAAATTATATATATATATATATATAGATAGCGATTTAAAAAAAAATTTCACCAGATAATTTGAATAGCTCTATTTGTTAAGAATTAATCATTTTAGGATGATTGGAGTGATTTTGTAGGGGAGTGCATCTGCATTCAAAATGGTAACTGTAACACAGTTCGTTGTTATGGGAAGGAGGCGGCGGGAACCGGCAAACATTTTAAAGACTTTAATAACAATCAATAAAAAAACAAACCAAAAGTAAATAATAAAACGCATATTATATAATATACATATATAATAAAACAGAAACAAAACGCAACAAAGTCCAGGCCTGGCCTCTCTCGTTCTTCACTGTAGTTGCTCCTCCTTTTAATGCGTCCGCTCCTCTGTGAGAGATACGAGACCGGTGCAGCGCACAGGTGGTGCTCATCAGCAATCACGCCACCGGCCTCGCGCCGTTCTCTCACGGCCCTCGGCCTCGTCCTGCTCGCCACATACCCCCATCTCCCCTCGCAGCCCAGACTGCGCTCATGGCGGACGGCAACAAGTCAAGTCATCTTTATTTATATAGCGCTTTTTACAATACAGATTGTATCAAAGCAGCTTCACAGTGATAACATGAAAATAAATACAAGTTTATTTCTAGAATAAAATTGCTTCATCGTCCACCTGAAGTAAGGCAGATCAATAATATTGTTGAATATTAAAGGGGGGGGTGAAACACTCAGTTTCACTCAATGTTAATCTTGAGTACCTATAGAGTAGTATTGCATCCTTCATATCTCCAAAAAGTCTTTAGTTTTATTATATTTATAAAAGAAAGATAGGCTGTACCGAGTCTTTCCGGAAAAACCCGAGCGGGTGGAGGCTTGCCGTGTGTGCGGAGCTAAATAATCACGACACGAGCGCGCAAAGCTTTTGCGTTGAGAGCGTCTGGAAGCTGTGAGTGACATTCGAAAATAAACCATGGCTAACAATCAGATAGTAATCCCATGCAGAACAAGGATCTAAACAATACTAAGGGCTCGTTCATACAGAACGGAGATGGGCAGTGAAATGGGTGAAAACCATAAGGTCTCGAGCGTTTTTAAAAAAAATAGAAATGATTTGAACTTGAGCGCAGTGTTTTTAGAACACCATGTCATGCGCGAGTTTTATAACATTTGTGTGTTGTAAACAGACAGACTCGTGGTTTATGAGGACATGATTTATTTTTACAATAAACAAACTGACACCTACAGTGGCCAGCTAAACAAATGTATTTAAACACACACACACACCATACATCGCATGCTCCATAGATAACATTAACTGTATGTGATCATGTTGTTTACTTGCTGTGCTTACACGCCGATAGTTAACAACTCACAGACATTTGAAGCAGTTTTACTCACCGCCTGCGGTTCCAACGCACGACCGTGAACCTTTATCGTTGGGACTGCTCCATCTTTAAGTATTAGGCGATCTGCAAATCCGGCGTTGAACTGGGCCTTGTTTATAAAACTATTACCGTCGAAATAAAGGGAACAAACAAAAACACTTGCACAACTCCGTTGCTGCTCTGGAAAAACAAAATCCATCCACAGGTCCCTTAACGCTGGGTTCTTTGGAAATTTGTGCAGTGTTGTCTTGCCCTGGCAACCAAAAACACTTTTTTGGTGCCATTTTTTTTAATTGCAGCGCAGCCGACCGAGCCCAGCGCTCTGATGGGCATAGGCGTACTCTCGCACGCACTAGGCGACAGATGCGCGCGCGCCCTTCCGGGAGAAGTGCCCTTAAGACCCGTATAAGGAAATTCCGGCCACTCTGACGTCATACACGCCCGTATTCGAAAAAAAACTTTCCGAAACTTTTGACAACCCGGAAGGAGTATTTTTGGAACAGAATTACTCCATCAAACTTACAACTTTATTTTTGAAACTTTGTTAAAGAGTTGGATTCCCATGCTAAACATGGACAGTGTAAAAAACTCACTATACATGAAACAGCATTTCACCCCCCCTTTAAATGTCCCCAACTAAGTAAGCCAAAAGCCAAGGCAACAGTGGCAAGGAACCAAAACTCCATCAGTGACAGAATGGAGAAAAAAACCTTGGGAGAACCCAGGCTCAGTCGGGGGCCAGTTCTCCTCTGGCCAACGAGCGAACAGTGTATGATTATGATTTAGGCAACATTACAGGTCTGTAAATTGGATCAGAACATTCACAATATTATACAGTTCCATCTGGTTGGAGGTCGGCGTCATCACGCCGGTATGGAGACGAGTTTGTAGAGGTGTCCATGAGGCCTTCACAGGGCTGATGAGGCTGGCACTTGAGTGATGCGTTGTGGTCGTGTCCAGGCGCAGGTTCACCATCTGATCTGGATACGGCCCGGATCCGGCTGACTTTAGTAAACCTCGGAATAAATGGCAAGACTGACTTTAGCGTAGATGCCATTCTTCTTAAGATGTAACGAGTACATCGGGTGTTTTGGGAAGTGTCCCCGGTTCCGGCTGACCTAATCTATGCAGCCTAATAATCATTTAACTGATTTGAATAATAGAAATGTATAATGTTCTATGTGAATGCCAGGTAAAAGAGATGTGTTTTTAGTCTAGATTTGAACTGACAGTGTCTCTGCTTCCCGGAGAATGCTAGGGAGACTGTTCCAAAGTTTAGGTGCTAAATAGGAAAATGATCTACCGCCTGCAGTCGATTTTGATATTCTAGGTATTATCAACTGGCCGGAATTTTGAGATCGCAATATACGTGAAGGACTATAATGCGTTAAGAGCTCGCTTAAGTGCTGGGGAGCTAAACCATTTAGTGCTTTGTAAGTAGACGGCAATATTTAAAAATGTATACGCTGTTTAATAGGGAGCCAATGCAGTGTTGATAGATCCGGGCTAATATGGTCATACTTCCTGGTTCTAGTAAGAACTCTAGCTGCTGCGTTTTGGACCAGCTGTAGTTTGTTTATTAAGCGTGCAGGGCAACAACCCAGTAGAGCATTACAATAATCTAGCCTTGAGGTCATGAATGCATGAACTAACTGTTTTGCATTTTTCATTGAAAGCATATGTCGTAATTTTTAGATATATTTTTAAGATGGAAGAATGCGGTTTTACAGATGCTAGAAACGTGACTTTCAAATGAAAGATTGGTATCAGAGCACACCCAGGTTCCTAACCGATGACGAAGACTTGACAGAGCAGCCATCAATTGTTAGACAGTATTCTAGGTTAAGTGAGGATGTTTTTTGGCCAATAATTAGAATCTGTTTTTTTTTTCAGAATTTAGTAGTAGGAAATTTCTAGTCATCCAAATTTTTATATCAGCTATGCATTCCGTTAATTTTGTGAATTGGTGCGTTTCGTGAAAAGTGAGAGTTCTACCATTTATGTAACACGGAGTCGGCTTTACAGCCTTGGCTAGATCAAGAACACATGAGATTAAATAATGATCTGAGATGTCATCGCTCTGCTGCGGAATTTCAACGGCATTAATATTTATTCCTTGTGATAATATTAGATCTAAAGTATGATTACGACAATGAGTAGGTCCTGACACGTTTTGTCTAACTCCAATAGAGTTCAGAATGTCTTCAAATGCCAATCCCAATGGATCTTTTTCATTATCTACATGGATATTAAAATCACCAACAATTAGGACTTTATCTGCAGCCAGTACTAACTCTGATAGAAAATCAGCAAATTCTTTGATAAAATCTTTTCAAATGGGATTTATCAAAAAGTCGAACGGGATTTATCACTTCCTCTACATAACGTTAAAGAAAGCACCATCACTTCAAATTAATTATATTTGAAACTAGATTTCTGAGTAATACTGAAGATATTGTTATAAATTACAGCAATACCTCCCCCATTTCCTTTTAAACGAGCCTTGTGTTTATAGTAGTAATCTTGGGGGGTGGACTCATTTAAAGGGTTAGTTCACCCAAAAAATGAAAATTATGTCATTAATGACTCACCCTCATGTCGTTCCAAGCCCGTAAGACCTCCGTTCATCTTCGGAACACAGTTTAAGATATTTTAGATTTAGTCAGAGAGCTTTCTGTCCCTCCATTGAAAATGTATGTACGATATACTGTCCTTGTCCAGAAAGGAAATAAAGACATCATCAAAGTAGTCCATGTGACATCAGTGGGTTAGTTAGAATGTTTTGTAGCATCGAAAATACATTTTGGTCCAAAAATAACAAACTACGACTTTATTCAGCATTGTATTCTCTTCCGGTTCTGTTGTCAATTGAATATTCAGCAACTCGAGCTTAATCATTTGTTCATCTGCATTATATTCATTTTTTACTTGTTGAACCTCAATCAAATTTTTACTCTTAAATGGGTTTGGGAGTTTTTTGTATTTCCTAGATCGGGGAACAG